TGGAGAAGATGTATCGTCAGGTGATGGTAGCCCCTGAAGATCAGAATTATCAATTGATACTTTGGCGATACAATTTCCAGTGAGCCATAAAATGCGCACGTACAAGTTGAAAACAGGTTACTTATGGTCTTTCCTCTGCTTCATTTTTAGCAAACTCGATGTCTGAAGCAGGATAGCTTTAGAGTTCTAAAGAGGAATCAGATGTATCTCGTATATTGCAAGAGGATATGTTATGACAAGACGACTTATTGTCGGGTGCAAATACAGTTGATGATGCAGTATTTGTCTGCAAGAAAATATCTTCAATTTTACATGCACGTGGTTTTGATTTGAGGAAGTGGAATTCAAATTCTGTAGAATTCTTAACTGAATTTAAGGAACATTGTTCATCATCGAATTCTGATTTTGAGATATCTCCTAATTCGAGTTCGAAAGTCTTAGGACTTTTTTGGAATTCAACTACTGATACCTTCAGTTTTAAAGCTACACTGCAACATCAACGCACCTATAACAAAAAGACGCACCTATTAGCAGAATCTGCTCGCATTTTCGATCCTTTAGGTCTCTTATCTCCTTGCACTATATTGATTAAAATATTTCTATCAAAAACTATGGTTAGTTAAAGGCGACTGGGATTCAGTTGTTCCCCAGCATATCTCAGATGATTGGTTTAAATTTCAAGAGACATTCAGTCAAATCAATAATTTGAAATTCCGAGATGTGTCATACTTACAACGGACAGTGTTATCCAACTACATGGATTTTCTGATGCATCTTCGCAGGCTTATGCAGCAGCTATTTACTGTCGCCAAAGGTGCAATGGTACAGTTAAGGTTAATCTTTCGGTATCAAAGACTAAAGTCGCGCCTATAAAGCAAGTATCCATTCCTCGATTAGAACTCTGTGCTGCGTATTTGTTGACCAGATTAATGCGATCTCTATTGAACATTTTAAAGAAGTTTAATTTCGAAATCTTTGCGTGGACGGATTCCAAGGTAGTTCTGTCTTGGCTATCCGCTCATCCACGTAAGTGGAAAACTTTTGTGGCAAACAGAACATCTCAAATCACAGAAGTGATACCTATTAAACATTGGAATCATGTTCCCTCTAAACAGAATCCTGCAGACATTGCTTCTCGTGGTATTGAACCTCAACTCCTACCAAATTGTACTTTGTGGTGGAATGGTCCACCATGGTTGCGTCAGGAAGAGGAAAAAAAATGGCCTGAATATGAATTAAAATCTGAAGATGATGCTGAAGTAAAGGCCGAACAAAGATCTGATCCTATTTTATTTCTCATATATGTGAATCGAATGATTTATTAGCTAATTTTGTTCGAGCATTATTCTTCGCGTTGTAAAATTGTTCGTATTCTGGCTTACTGCCAAAGATTTATTATAATAATTGCAAGAAGCATCATGTTACTCAGAACATTTCACGTAGTGGCATTAACTCCAGCTGCCTTATGCCGCTAACATTTCTAGAGATTCGAGAAGCAGAAAATTTCATTATTCGTTGGATTCAGAATCATCATTTCAAAGATGATTTACAATGTATTAAAGAAGAGAAACCTTTACCCAAGAAGAGCCAACTACGTTCTTTGTATCCATTCGTAGATAAAGATGGTCTCTTACGGGTGAGAGGACGTCTTCGAAATTCATCTTTAGCATTTAACATCAAACATCCTGTCATACTTCCTTCTCGACATAAATTTAGCGAATTACTAGTGAAAGAACTTCATCATATTACTTACCTTCATGCTGGTCCTTCTTTATTATCACACCTCATCAGACAATCTTACTGGATAATTGGAGGAAAGAAACTGATACGCAGTTGTGTCAACCATTGCTTAATACGAGTGTCATCGATTTAAAGCTGCTTCAAATCCGCATTGATGGGTGACTTACCTGAACATCGTGTGACTTTGGAACGACCTTTTTACGCATCTGGTGTGGATTACGCTGGTCCTATTACCATGAAATTTAATAAGGGTCGTGGCTCTAAAACAACGAAAGGCTATATAGCTCTGTTTGTTTGCTTGTCGGCTAAAGCTGTGCATATAGAAGCAGTCAGTGACCTGACGGCAGACTCGTTTATCGCTGCACTTAGACGTTTCATTTCACGTCGCGGTGCACCACGGCACATTTACAGTGACAACGGTACCAATTTTGTGGGAGCATGCCGAAAACCACAAGAACTAAATCAGATTTGGTCTTCCTTGTATGCAACGGAATCGGTTTCCCGAGAACTAACTAAGTCATCTATTGAATGGCATTTTATACCACCTGCTTCGCCCCACTTCGGAGGAATATGGGAAGCCGGCATTCGCTCAGCGAAATTTCATCTGAGAAGAGTATTGAAAGAGACTCTTTTAACCTACGAAGAGTTGTCAACGCTACTTACCCAGATTGAGGCTATTTTGAATTCACGTCCATTTACTTACGTGAACGATACTGATATTGACTGTATTAATGTTTTAACCCCTTCTCATTTCATTACAGGTGATACTTTAACTTCCTTTCCAGAGAGCCATCAGACTTTACGCACAAGGAGTTCTAGGTGGGAACTTGTACAGAATCTACGTCTGGGATTCTGGAAGCGATGGAAAAAGGAATACTTGACTTTGCTGCAGCAGAGATCCAAGTGGCAGTACAACAGACCCAATCTAAAAATCGACACGGTGGTTCTTATCATCGAAGATGGATCTCCACCGCTAGCTTGGCCTATTGGACGGATCATCGATGTCCATCCGGGCAAGGACGGCTTAGCTCGCGTAGCCACTGTCAAAACTAAAACTGGTGTTTTCAAGAGAGGAATTAATAAACTTTCACCTTTGCCTGTGTATCAGGACTAAACCTGATAGGGTGGGAGTATGTTCACTTCCACGCCTGTCGAATTAATTTCTACCTTTTCGTTGCCCTGCGTTGGCAACATGCTTTTGAGATTTGTCGTTTGTAGGATTCGGTCGCTAAAAGCGTAGCTGGTCTGTAACGGTTGTAATTATTATTTTATGCTTATCTGTACTCCTGAATTATTATTAAATGTTTACGTGTGAATGTTTTATTATTAAATGTATTCACTTTGGTTGAAATAGACCGAGAGTGACTGAATTTATTAAGGATATTTAAAGTCGAAACTGCGTCATCCATGTCGGCGCCATTCTAATACGAGGTACGTAAACAAAACGTATTGAAAGAAGATATTACATTTATTAATGTAAATAACTCATGATACATATACTTTAGCACTCACATAGCTAAGGCTTTGTTGTCATGGCTAACTTTTATGAAATTCTAAGCATTAACTACAAATCTCATTCACAAAACTTTAAAATCAATTTTTATATAAAGCTAACAGCATCTATGTAGTTCCGTAGGATAAAGCTAATTCTGAAAGTGTTATTTTTTAGTTATTTCGTTATCTAAGCAATACAAGTAAATGCGCTTTCCTTCAGAAAGTTTTCCATGGGCATAATCAATTAGAGTGTGAAAAATAAAGTAAGCACAAATACCACAATGAATGCAGACTAAAATGTAAAATTAGCAGTATGAATGCAATAAATTAACCTAAAAACTGAATTAGGAGGTATTATTTGTTAGAGAGAGTTATAAAGTTCTACTTAACTTAATGTGTCCTTGGCTACTAGAACTTTACTGAAGTGTCTAGAAACCATTCGCTGGAAGTCCAAACAAGGGTTAAAATATCCTTATATTAACTCAAAAAAAATACTACAGACGTGCTTACAGGAAACCCTTCATTTGGGCTTAAGATATAAAATTAAGGAACTAAATTAATTCTAACTAGCTGAGCCTTAGCCGAAGTTGTACAAAAGTAGCTAACAGAATTGACCCGTAATTAAACCTCAGAGGCAAATACTAACAAGCACGTAAGACTACGGCAGAACGTAGTAAGATAGGCCTAAAGCAAGGACGTATCCCGGTGGCAAAACACGCTTTACTGAGAATATCTGGACTCTTCTACGAAAGGGATTGAACTTCCCATTAAATATTGGTTGTACTTCATTCACACAAAACGCGATACTGAAATCTAATTCTGGCAGGGAGTTGTAGGTATAAAACAAGAATTTAAAGGAAATAGTTTCAAAATTAAAAATAACTCTTAGAAAATTAAATATTTCTTACAGGGTGCAAAAGATTTTAGTATCAGTAAATGAAACAGTTACTATGGTTTTAAAAAACTACGGATAAAAGCTGTAATTTCCTCCTAAAGTATAGAAAGCGAGAGTATTTCAAGTTCGCTTGTAAGTAACTGCGGCTCCAAAGCAAACATTACTCTATAAAATGTAGAGAAATCTCAAGCAAATATTTGAAATCATGCATTCATATATAAACGATGTTAAACCGTATCGCTAAAGTTGTTAAAAGAAACTTGTGCGTAACGTTATGTCAAATAAAATCGTGTAGATGATTAGTTATGATCGGAGAATATAACAAGTATATTAAAAATTGCAAAGAAACGTCTGAATACGCACGAAGCAATAGCAATTGAAAATGTTAAAAAAATTGTATTAGTGTCTAAAACGAAATAAAATATTTAATTTATGTATGGTGAAGCTATAACAAATCTGTTAAACAAACAAATTAAACCAGAATTATGACTTATAAAGAGAAAAAAATGAGCTCATTTGACTCATTTTCATTAATATTGGACTATATAAGAGATATATTGTTAAACATGTGAAAGAAATTAGAAAGTCTGTATAATATTAGTGTCTGTGTGTGTGTGTTATGGTGTGTTTTTTTTTTTTTTTTTTGTGTATGTGTGTGTTATGTTTTTTTTTTTTTTTTTTTTTTTTTTTTTTTGTGCGTGTGGTGATTACGGCAAACCCCATTATATATTTTTTATCTCACACTCTTAAGTTTTGGATTCAAATTAAGGCATGCAAAAGTACTATTATTCTGACATTGATGGTTCACTCAAATGATGATTATTATACTCAATAATAATTTGCTCTAATCTTTCAGAAATATCTTACTTACTTGTGAGCCGATGGCTGAATGGTGACCACTTTTACGCCAAACCGATACATTTCTAACCTTAGACCATCGCAAAAGCTCTGAGCTGCTTGCTTACTTGAACTATAAGCGACAAGGCCAGGAGTTGAACACCTAGCTAAGTTGAGAAAGAAGTAAAAAATTAATTACAGCAGATGAAAAAATTTAAATAATAAATATCAAATAATTAATGTTAATTTAATTTATTTTGGTAATATTGTTACGAATTTGCTATTTAAAAAGCTAATGTTAGTTCAATTATAAATTAAATGGTTTTATTTCTCGCGCAGTGCAGCGCGTGACGAATATTAAAAGAAAGCTAAGCCGGAAAATTGAAAATACAAGAACGCGTGCATTAAATAAATAAATATCTCTTTTTGATTTCGAGAAAGTACTGGAAGATTCTAGCGCGTGATTTTAAAATCTTATAAAAGGAGGAAAACATCTCAGTTCGTAGTAGTAGTTGCTTAGTTTGTTGTTGTTTAGAAAACTGCTCTTGTTGATTGCAGCGAATTCGCGGATTAGCTTTTTTTTAATATTCGTCACGCGCTGCACTGCGCGAGAAATAAAACCATTTAATTTATAATTGAACTAACATTAGCTTTTTAAATAGCAAATTCGTAACACTTGGTGTAAGTTTAGCTTCCTGTCCAGGGATTGTACTGCCCGGGACGTGCAGTCCTTGAAATAAAACCATTTAATTTATAATTGAACTAACATTAGCTTTTTAAATAGCAAATTCGTAACAATATGAAAGAAACACAAGAAACCAGGTATGATAAGTTTTATATGTAATCATTCTACCTTTTAATCTAAATCGAGAAACGCGTCAGTGGCGTTAAAAATATTAAAATTTTATTTAATGTTATTTTCAACAGAAGTGCAGGAAATGAAACAAAAGCACACACATGTTCTTTTCAGTTATTCACAGTTGTTTCAATGCACTGTAAAAGAATGATAAGGATGTTTATACTTCTGTTTTTTTTTCTGAAAATAGAATAATAATCATAATAATATTAATTGCATTTCGATAAATTTTTGCTATTGCTGCTATAAATATTCACACAGCTAATTTTGCAATGCGAGTTAAACCTAACTTGTTATGCCAATGTTTTGAGTACTTGACACTCTAAATGGAAATATCTTATTTTACATAAATGTTGATAAAAATATTTCGAAGAATTTACTAAGGAACATGCTATCGTTATAAAAAATTGCAAACTCGTATTAAAACACGAACTCAAAGGTGAATTCTACGCGAGATTAGAGTAAATATTTCAAGATTTCTCATATAAATATAAATATTTCAAGATATAATAAATATTTCAAGATTTTCAGCTATTGTATTTCTGTAATGTAAGCTTAATAATGTTATTGAGATTAAGTAGATTAACTTTTAAAGATGGTCATGAAATATATTTTTTGCAACAATTTTCTCTGTTTTCGTAATGGTAAAAGGGCTTTCACATATTCTTCAACGTATAAATTATACGTAAAGTATATTTGAATCCTATCCGAGATTACATTTACGATTTAAAAACGTTGTTTAAAAGTGCGGTGTAAGTTGTAGGAAATTAGTGTTAAAATATGCACCCATCAGTAAGTTTGTAACCATCTTGATATGTTGATGATAACGGCAGTAATAATAATTCATTAGAATTAAATAGGTCTCAACATATATGAAATTTTTATTAATTGGAAACAATAATGATGACGATGGTTGACATTAGCAGTAATAATAATAATAAAGACAATAATAAATTTCTATTAATCTTCGGCGAACCACCAAAAAGCCATAGAAGAGACGTCAAATATGTTTAAATTACGCTAAGGTAAAGCGATACGCATATTGTGAGATGAAAGCAAAAATAATTATCATGTTACTAAATGTTTTACAGCATCAAAAACGTTATACGACTTTTTCTTGAAACCAAAGTTAAACAGGTCTTTGATTTGGGTGTGATGCCTGTAAATGTACACAAATTAGCAATTAGTGTTGAAAGATGGGAACAAGGAGGGCAAAGCCAATTGCGTAAAATGAAAATGGAAACACAAAATCCTAATGTAATGCCAACATGAAAGTAATAGCGGGACCTTGTATATATGGCTTGCAGAAACACATTATTTAATTTGCTAATTCTAATTTGCTAATTTAAACCGCCTTTTTATGAAACCTGGTTTTAATCTTTCATAAAATACACTTTTAAATAAATTCTAGAAAAACTATTAATTGTATACTGAATTCTACAACATCACATGTTTTCTTAATTTGTTCGTTTTGATTATCCTTATAACATAGGGTTATTGTTGTGGTAGTGCGAAACATTGTGAAAATTCCATGTAGTTCTTGCAATTCTGCTACATCAGGTATTGAGCGATGTTACTAAGACCTACATAAAGCCCGTTCTCTTTGTTGTCCTTTTTTTAAACTTGATGTGTACTCCAAGTAGCACATGACGTATAGCAAAGACGTTGCAAACTAGTGCGAGAAGTTTAAAAGTGGTTGTGGTACTTTTTACGATGTCTTTACAATGGGCATATTCTTGCAAATCGGATAGAAAGAGGCTCCAAACAGCCCGAAATTGTATATAACGTCAAATTTCAAACTCACCCTGGTACATTTGTAATAACCGTATGCATTTTGAGCTCAAAATGGACCAGCTTAAAACTATATATTGTAAATTAGCAAGGAAGTTCTTCGAAAGCCAAAAGAATATTCAAAACCCTGCCATTAAGATATGTAATTACGACATTAATGATTCTGTTAACTGCAAACAACTTATGGCGATACTTAATGTTTTCTTACTGTTACCTGCATTATTACTCAACATTTGTATTATATATTGTCACCTTACTTATCATATTTATATCTCCTCTTATTTTTTATATGCACATATTTTGTATCTTGTTATGCCTTTTAACAGGACCAGTGTCAATTTAATATTGTTAATTTATTATAGTATTTCAAACTTATCCATTATTTACCGGCCTTTTTATTCTTTCCTCTTTTTAAATTTTTCACCGAAGAAGTTGCACCTACTTCTTGTTTTATTCTTCCAATTGTTGTATGTCTCCCTTTCAGGATATTTATCGCCGGCTCGAAAGGCTTTCACCAGATGCTTCTGTCATTAGTCGACGCTGTTTTACTACACCTTTAAATTCTTATTTCATATTAACTTGTGATTAACAATTTAATGTTAATATCTTGCTTTATTAACTTTTTATTTTAATTTAACGATTTACCTTGAAGTTATTTGTGACAAAATTTGTTATGTAACTTGTTACTTAAATTTCTTCATATAACTCATTTTTTTTTTTTTAAATTTAGAAATTTTCTTTGTGTTAATGCACACATAATTAATAATTTTTAATTTTGTTCGATAGGGATAGGGCCTTCGGCCCAAGTACCTTGGTGTATCCACCATTCGCCCGTGAAACAGAGACAGACATCTTTACAACGTAGTGAAGACGCAAAATATTTGCCGTTGCATCTTTGCAATTTGTCGACGTCGCTGAAGCGTCGTGATTTGACTGCTTTTAGACTTAATAATTTTAGCATTTTTTTCATGGTTCATCAACGTTACTTTTAGAATGAAAAGAGACTAAATTTGCCCTTTCAAGAATCTGAAGTCCGCATAAGATTTATTTTGTAATGTTTCATTACTTTATTTCATCTAAATATATTAATCTAAGGTAGATACACCTAATAAAATATAAAGTTAATATAATATTTTTAAATTATTAAATTTAATTAGCTAAAAATAAGTGCTAATTTATTGTTTAAAATTTTGTTAAAATAATTAATACTTAAATATTTTTATAACTATTACAGCAAAATATTTAAAAATGAAAATAATCTATAAAGTAAGTTATTAATTTAAGCATGTTATATATTTTAAAAAAATCATATTTCCGAAATAAATGCAAATCTAATTCTTTGCAAGTCATGTGTTAACAATTATTTCACTACTGAAATATGACTTTATTTATTATTTTAAGTAAGGATGAATTTATCTGAATTAATATGCTGACATAATATGAAATATTTTACCGCATACAGTGCAAAAAGTTTTAAGTTTAAAAGTTCTAAATTTATCACTTGAAAAACAGATTTCTTAATGTCAATTAACTCAACTAAAAATTAAATAATTCAAATATAACTTGCTGCACGGAAATCATGCAATTATTGAAATCATTATAAAGCACAATCCTAAAGTTCACTAAATTTAAGTACTTACACTCCAGAACTATTTCATTGAGAAGTTCATTCCTGAGAACGAACTCACTACAATAGTCTTTTTATTGCGAACTGAACTTCATTTCCTGCCATATTAATGAGCATTTCGTACAAAATGGAATACACCTAGGTTTATAATTATAAACACATCCTTCATATTCGTTTAACCAACTGAAAAGACACTTGAGTGAGTGAGACAGATCGGCAGACAGAAGTGTTAGTCGCCGCACTGTAAAAGAAAATGCTCGAAAGTGACAGACCAAAGTCTTGTTTAGTTACAGGAATGCGAACGATTACAGCGAACACAGAATCGAAACAATCTGTAATTTTTATATAGATTTTGCCAGGATTTTTGCTTTGAGAATGCCCCATTTCTTCCAAATTTAATCGATCTGTAATTCATTAAAATCTAATAAGCGATTTAACTTAATAAAGTTGTAAACGCAATTTTCGACCTTTGTCACTGTTAACCAACCACTTGCGCGCTGTCAGCCATTTAAAATGGTTAATATAAAAAAAGAGAAAATATATAATGATTTGAATAAGTCTAGCCAGTGTAATTTTGCGAGTCCAGATAACAATTAGTTAAAGAATTACTGAGATAAAGAATTGTATTTATTGTTTTAAATCGCTTAGTTTGCTGTAAAACAAATAGATAATAGATTCAATTTAAAAAAAAAATTAAATACCTTTCGCTTTAATGAATGGAAGCACAATGGAATGTGGAACATAAAAATATTTTATTTTGGGCGTTGGCAACACATTTAAAAAAAATCTTCGTTCGAGTTTGTTGATTAAATTTGAAAAATAAATGTATTCGCTTTTCGGAGTGGCAGCCTTCTGCTTTAAAATAACCGAGCTTGTAAATCAAAATTTCGTTAGGTTCCTTTTCTTCTTGTACCTCGATTTCGTTTCATCTCTTACATAATTAATAATTGTTTTGACATTTCTTAAATATTTTTCAGGCGAAATCTCTGTTTCATTAGGCAAATCACGTGTATCACCATTGAAAAGTGACACAATACCTAGGTTGGAGTTGTGTGCAGCCATTCTTTTAGCCACACTGATAACTAAAGTGAAGAGTGCCTTACAACTGACATCTTCTTATGTAGCGGGATAGCCACAATACAGGACTTGACAAAAGTTCATCAATGGCATCACGTAGCTTCTGAGAACAATCCCGCTGACACTGTTTTAAGTGGAATAAATCCTGAGAAAATGTTGGGCAATAAACTGTGGTTCGAAAGGACCCCTATTTTCCTGACTGACTAAGAGTATCCCAATTTTGAAATTCCTACGTCAGACATAAGAGATGAGTTTACATGTGAAATGAGACATTCAGAACAAAGTGACTCCTAATACGTTTTTTGAAATAAGTGATAATAATGCTAAAATTATAAATGTTATAAGCTATCTATTCAGATTCATCCACAATCTAAAAAACAGATGACAGTGCAAAAGAGCTTTACAGAAAGTATTTGTTTGTATATTTGTGTGTTTTTTATTGAAAGTTGTGCATGTAGAAATTGTGTCCGATTTAACTTCTGAAGCATTCATAGCTACGTTAAAAAGGTTTATGGCTAGAAGAAGTGCTAAACTTTTTTCAGATAACGCTAAGAATTTTGTCGGAGCCCCTAAAGAAATTAAAAAACTTTATGATATAGTAATAAAGCCAAATAACCAATTACCTGAATATTTAGCGACAGAGGACATCAACTGGAAATTTATTCCCTAAAGATTCCCTAATTTCGGAGGCCTTTGGGAGGCTGCTATTAAGTCATTAAAATATCATTTAAAAAGAGTTGAAAGAGTTATAAATTTAACATATGAAGAGTTTCTTACGATACTTGTAATTTTAAACTCTCGCCCTCTTTGTCCACTGTAAGCTAATGAAAACGATTTTGAGGTTTTAACTCCTGCCCACTTATTAACAGATCTTGAATGCCATTGTTGAACCTAATTTAACAAACTTAAAAGAGAATAAGCTTAAAAAATGGGGCAGGGGGGAATTAGAATTGTTCTACTAAAGTGGAAATTTTTGCAGCTCAGTTATTTAAACCAGTTTCAATAATATAATAAATGGATGTTTGAAAAAAATAATGTAAAAATTGGTGACTTACTGCTTTTGGTAGAAGAAAATTTACAGCCTTATAAATGGGCAGAATTATAGATGTTTATTATGGTGAAGATAAAAAAAATCCGAGTTGTCAATGTGAAAACTCATTTGTTACATTATTCAGACTTTTAAAAGAACAATTCTAAAGTTTGTATCCTGCCAATACCAAGTAATTAATTTAAGTTTTAGTGTTTGTGTATTTACGTTGATTGATTTATTGAATAGTACTTTTTTGAATTTTTTTGAATGCAGTGTTTGTATAGTGCACTCAATTTTTGAATGGAACTCAATTTTTAAATATGTTTTACTTCGCGTGGAATTTAAGTGTCATTTGTGTATTTAAAAGTGGTATAGTAATTGCATGGTGTAACCAGTGCAATGCGGAGCGGAATGTCTGTTATTGAGTAACAGTAGCGCCTTCTAGTGAGAGTTTTGGAGCCTGTGTATGTGAACAAGAGCTATGTTGGTGTGACATGTGTTTTCTTTTAGTGCTAAAGTGAAAATATATTGTATTACAGTCCACTTTTTTGGTGGAATTATTTCTTAATTGACATTGATATTTAATAGCTTTAACAGATTTCTGTATTTATATATTTCCTTTGTAGTAAAATAATATTAATTATTTTGTAACTACTTTTATTCTTACTGTATAAGTAAAAGTTGAAAAGACAAAATCATTTTTAAAATATGCCTATAAAGACTAAAATACTAGAAATTTGCTTATGAAAGTGGATGATAAATCTATGGAAAGACCAAACATGTATTTGTTTATTTAGATTATGCATTTTGCTTGAAACTGCAGTAAAGTAAAACAATACTTTCATTTAGTGTTTTTAGAAAAAAATTTAGCTTGCAAACCTTAATAATTTTGTAAGAATTTTAATATTTTTTTGTGGCATAAATTTGATTCTTATTGTATAAGTAAATTTGAAGTAAAAAAGATAAAGTAATTTTTAAAATATTTCTCATGAAGACTGAAGTGCCAGAAATCTATTTTATGAAACTGTATGATAAATATTTGTTTAAGATTATGCACTTTGTTTCAAACTGGAACAATAAATAAAACAATAAATTCATTTGATGTTTCTTGAGAAAACTTGTTTTGCTGCCATTGATAATTTTGTAGGAATTTTGATATTTAATACCTTTGATAGAATTCTGTATTTATATTTTTTCTTTATAGTTAAATAAGGTAATTGTTTTGTAATATTACTTTTATTCTCGCATAATAAACTACTGAAAACTAATAATATCTTGTTAATGGCGTTTTACTTTGACGCAGTATATTTGTTAAAAAGCGAATCATATTATAGTATCTAATATCGCAGTTATTCTTAAGGATAGAAAATAATCATTCTTTATAGTATATTATTTTTATACTGAATGCTTGCAATTTAGTATCAGGTTTGTAAGTTTTAATTTCTGTTGAATATTTGCCTCTTTAAAATTATGCATATTTATTCTAAAGAAAAAAATGTATTATCTCCTGGTTTTTAGGAAATAATAAAATATTTAAATTTTAGAAAAATACAAGGAATACGATTTTTTTAAAAGAAAAATATATTAATTATAAAACTTATATTTCTGCATACATTAATGTGTAACACAAGGGCATAACAGCGACGTTTTCAGAACTGTTGTAAAAAGGTGGAATTCTGCGAACATTTGGGCGTTGTTAGGACGTCATGATACGATGCTTTCACAACCAAAATACAACCTGAGAAAGACGCAATAACGACGTCTATGCGACAAAAACCTCATCTGCAAAGACGTAATAAAGACATCTTTGCAACGTTTGCAAAACAGTGGAGTTTCGTGGACACTGGGAGTCTTAAAGACAACATATATTGCAACGTTTTTGCAACATCACCCGCGACGGGTTTGCAACGTCATTGCAAAGTTCCGCCCTATTTGGAACGTTATACGGACACGGAAAAAAGGAAACTGCAGTGCAAAATACAGTTCAAATTTCAAACTCTAGATGGTAATTTTCATGCAATGTAGAAAGGACGTTATGCAAATCAGGGTTCAAATGGGAACATTCAGTGCTGTAAACTCTATCTTCACCATGCCATTAGAGAAGAAAGAGCATTACTGGTTAAATTGTTTTATCAGAACTGCAGTAAAAGTGTATCTGCACTGCTAGAATACCGACAACTGAAAAGCTTGCAAAAGATGATTATTAAACTTGAAGAGACTGGGTAGCTAGATATGCTGCAAGAAAGAGGATGGGAACAAATTTCAGACGGAACTGTGGTAGAAGTAGTTACTTTAGCTGTGGTTTGACAGAGCGTTGTGTTCCCGATATTCTTTTACAAGTGCTTAAGTGGTGTCGCGTGATTTATCTATCACTTGGTCTACAATAGGAAAGCCTCTGGAACCTAGTATAGAGCGGTATACATGCATGATCCGCATGATACATAAGTTGCATCGTAGATGCCCACATCAACGCATTGACTTTGCTTATGAATTTTTGACGTGAATAGCCATCGACAATGCATCTCTGTAGAATGCGGCCCAATTTACCCTTTCTCAGGTGAATACTCAGCACTGTCGCATATGGTATATTGCGAGTCCCACTTTTATGCATGAAAGCGTCTATATTCTGATTACGTGTGTCCCGTATTATGTGTGATGTGGTATTAGCGATGACATCTATTCTAAAACTTGTACCATCGCGATTGCTCTTTACTACAAATTTCTTTATCAGCAGGTTATTCCTTTTTTAAAACAACAAGATTATTTACAAATTAATATATTCATGGAAGATAATACAGCACTTCATATTGGCCGGAAAATGAAGCAACTGCCTTATGTTCACTTTGCAGACGGTTGGTTAATTTCAGAAGTTTTTGGAATGCCCGACATCCTCATTCTTCAAACTTGAATCCCTGTAATTGGGTTGAGGAGATTTCTGACAGATCGTACTTAAGGAGGAAACATACGGACTCTATCTGAATTCAAAACAAGCAGAACACGCCTATTCCTCCAGAACTTTCGTGCTACTGTTGTGCCCTGAACAATGTGATTGATGGAATGGTATGCACACTTTCCTTGTCCTGATGTGTAATACACTTTTATATTTCGAATTTTTCTTTTCTGTTCTTTATGCACCGTTTTTTCACCTAGTCGTTGAAATTTGATCTCTTATTTTTATAGCAATTTCCTTTTTCGCATAGTCCGTATTTTGCATAGCACCAATTTCCAACAAAAGACGTCAACAGTAGATACCATTGTGCTACAGCCTATAATTTGCGCTGATATGCTAAGAAAAACCATTAGATGTCATTTCAAACTGTTCAGTAAACTTCACTAGAAATAAAAGTTTAGTTAAGTCTTGAAATGCTGTCCAAATATTTTCCTGTGTAAAATAATTGATTTTATTGAAAATAAAACCAGGAAAAAACAAAATATTTTTAAACTTAAGGCTTTAAATTTCTTCAGTGGAATAATAGTAATTATCTCCAGAAATGCTTCTAATTAGACGTTAAGAGATTAATAGAAATCAGATACAAGGAAACTGTTATTCGGAAATTAAAAAGGACTCACCAACGAAGCTTGTTGTTGTTACCACTCTTCCTTGAGATTTGCACAACATCGGTAGAAAAGCCTTTGTCACGCGGACGACACCAAAAGTATTCACATCAAATATCTTTTTTACAGTATTCATACTGGTCCAAATCACTTCTCCACCAGCATTGATGCCCGCATTGTTAACAATGGCCCACAAGACTTCGTTACATGAAACAAAAATGAGATGGGTATCCAAATAAGTATATAAATAATTATGCAGTTAATTTTGAAAAGTTTCTCATTCAGAATATTATGACAGGAAAATAATAAAAAATCTTTTTAACTATATATTATCATTAAAATCTGAGTTATCTTTATATCAAGAGCGTAGACCACGAACGATTAACTCCATCTTAGATAGTTTTGAGAAAGCAGCGCATTCTTAGAAACAGAATAAAAAGTAATGAGAAAACCAATACATTTTTATTGACTGTATACACGATAATGGTAACTCAAAGTTATTACATCGAGTGGAAAAATATATTCCAGAGATAAACATGAAGAAAATGCAATATAATAAACAAATATGGTCTCGTTTTATTTTGTGTTCCGAACATGTGATTTGCATTCTAGGAGACAGTTTAAAGTAAATTAACAAAACCATTTTCATTCATTTGCTTCTCAGACACCTAATGTTCTATACCTTATATAAAATGATTAAAAGATGTTTCAAAAGTGTGGTTTTTCTTGAAAAATGTTACATCACTGATAGCGTTTTTTCAACATTTTCTTAATCTCTCTCGGAAGATGTTTACCTTGCTTAAACTTGTGGAAATATACATAATTAAATGTTTCGTGAGACTATCATTTCTTTTAAACTTCATGGCAAAATCCTAAATTCCTTTTAGTTATTATTACTGATGCCCATTCAGAGACCATTTTCTTAATGCATTTAAAACTGTTCGGAGAACTTCATAGAAAAGAAATTTGGTGAAATTATAGGTTTACTTAACCCATTGTTTTATTATTTTGCCTCTACTACCAGCTCTATTTCCGTCGTCTCCCTCCAAGATGCAGATTAGTTACATATATAAGAACATAAATTTTCGAATTTCAAATGATTTCCAAATTTAGAAATTTTATTATTTTTACATACTATACTATACGCTGAGCTAAAAAAATATATCTCTTTTTGTTCAGAGCAAAAATAAGTAAATCCTTTAGTTTACAACAAGAACTGCTTATATGTAAGTGCATCACAATGATTTTCTACAAATGTATACGTAAGATGATGCATTTTACTGGACAGTATCTTATATCGGAAAATACTGTGTTTTGAATGGTCTCATTCTGATGATCAATCTTTTATCAGAGTGTAGGGTTTATATTTATTTTAACTAACACTTATTTTAAGCTGTCTTTCCTGTCAAGCCTTTACTTTCTCCTAGACTTGGCAATGCCAGAGTATGTAAATTGTAGTAGAACGCGCAGTCTATTCAAATTTTAGCAGAAGTAAATTGAGTTTAAATAGAAGGGAAACGAGTTTGTATGTGTGCTTCTCGAATCGCTAACGTGAAGGTTGCTAGGTAGAAATTTAAGAACCGCGCGTTTCGGCCTGTGTGCCTATTTCGGCAGTTCGTTGAATCTTCAACTGCTTAATCAGTAAGCTTGCTGAATCTCAGCTGTATCTTAGAACGCGGTTAAGTTAGTTACGATTTTAAGCCTCGTAGGTAGTGATCTCGTTATTTATTCATCCTGTCATTTATTTTTAGTTTCACATTTCTGTTTGTTTAAACCGCCGGGTCGGCGTAGTTTTAGCGTGTTTGTGACGTCAAGTGAACGCAGCTGTTATTTCTAAAGTGGAATAAAAAGGGATTTAAACCCTTCTTACGAGTTTGTATAATTTACAGTTCATAGCAGTCACTACCACTGTTGCTGACAAGTTGGGGCTTCGCAACACTATAAGAGTTTAACAAAGTGTTTCCCTGAAGCATAGGGTACAGTGAAATTTTTTATTAATTTCACGAGAATATTTATTTTCTGAATTTTGCTGCTAGTTTTTGAGCAGAGTTTGAGTTATGCAGAAAAACAGAGAGGATGTTTATACAAATTTAGAAATATTTTGAAGCCGTTTAATGAATGTTTAAAATTTTTTTAATGTTGGATTTGATAGCCTTTTGTCTGGACTACAGGTATGCATCGTGATTTTCTCTATAGAAGGGTTTTCATAAAATTTTCAGGGGTGGGGTTGTACTCGAATTGCTTTTTCTCTGCCTTTGCTTGAACTCAAGAGCCGTCAGACAGACCCGACTTCCAAAGCAGCGGGATTACAGCACCACGCCCAGTTTATTCCACTACTCTTAGGAGTCCATCAATAGTGGTAGGTTTGTGCTTAGAAGGATTCATTTTCAAGAGACCGAAGACACAATAATCCATAGCCCACCTATTGTTCATAGTTCCTCTATTCACTACCATCACCATAAAATAACTTAAGGGGGCGTTACAGGATTGCTTTGGAAATGTATATTTACAATACCTCCATTAGTCTTCATTTTTTCAAGGAATACAGTGGTACCTTTCGAACTGTGTCATTTTGCTTTACCTTGATGAAGTTTCACTCTCTGAATGTTCTTGAGATGAAGAAATGGAATTCCTTCTCTAAATACAGGATAAATTTTTTCTTTACATAGTACATGGAGTTGGTTTTAAAACTTTTCCCATTCTTCTTATTTTTAATTTTACTTTGTAGGAGAATCTTGCGACAATCATAAAGCCTTTACTGAAACAATCTTTGCATTTACGGAATCATGTTTGCATACTTTTTCTCTTCGTTTTTGATGATAAATAGACCTTCTTTTTCTGTTGCAGTCATTTAAGTAAATCCAGACATCATCAAAGGTGACAAATTATGTCCATTTATCTCCTGCTAATCTTGTGCAAATTGTTCTGCATTACGCCACATGCCTCAACTGATGAACATTATGTTTTTTAACTTTTTAAATTGTTAATCTTATATAATTATTTTATTTATTGTTGCTGCAGATGTATTTAAAGAATTTGCAACTGACTTCTGCTCTGGCGAATTTTGCTTTTTACCAATGATTTAATGTTAGAAACTTTAGAAATAATACTCACCTTTTTCGTATACTCGTTTGGTATCTTCTTTCCATGCAGAAATAATGACTGACGCTTTTCCCTTTTCCTATTAATAATGTTGTTTAATTTGCACATAGAAATATTAATAGCGTGAATTTTAGAACTTTTTGAATTATGGATTAGAAATATTTCTCGTTGGAAAGTGAAAAAAAAAAAAAAAAAAAAAAAAAAAAAAAAAAAAAAAACCTGTCATTTAACTCCCAGCTTGTTTACATACGATAAATTTAAAAGAATAAGAATTTTTAAAGAATAAGAATTTTTAAAGAATAAATTTAAAAGTAGCAGACGATATTTCTCATTTCAAATAAAAAGCTCTTGCGAGAATTTTTTAATCCAAAATATTAGTTTTCTTAGTGTTTTTTTAAATCATTCTAAAAATGTGTAAACACCCATTGTAAAAGAATGAAATAATTGATCCTCCTTATTTTAATCTTTTTTAATATTATTTATTTATTTATTTTGTTAATTGTATCGTCAAATCTTAAAATGTATATGCAGTTTTAATGTTGGACACTTTTTAATCTCTCCATTCTCACACTTATAGACTTATATCCCTTATCGTATCGAGTTTCACATGTTTATTGGATTCGTTAGAGAATAGAAGGCTTACTGGTAGCAGTAGAAAGGGCTACTCGAACATTAAACATATTTAATTTGAAAACACAGAATCATTTGCTATGAACTTTGCAAGAAATTTATAGCTCAACTGATAATTTGGGCAGTAAATATAAGACACTGTTAAATTTTATTAAGAGGAGTGCTTTAAATTCAAATGACATGAATCTCCACAATGTCTAGCAATGCTGAAAACAGGAAATGCTCTGCAGAATTAAAATGCTTGATAGGCTCCAATATGCACGATTTTTTCTTATTATCTTTATTAATTTATATTTTATAAACGAATAAACAGGAAGCATTTCAGTCAATACGTGAAGGTCGTAAGATATGATGTCTTCAGAAGTTTGACATTTAGAGTAGTTAATTAAAAATTGCATTAAAATGAAATAATAACAAAATTTACATAGATTATTATGGAAATTAATAAACTAAATTGACGTTATCACCTTTTTTGCGTCGTTTCAACATTCGTTTTTTATTCTGCTGGTGGTTTTTACTCTGCGTTGCCATTTAATTATAACATAGTTTACTCATCCGCATGCGCAATCTAACATGCTGTCTTCGCATCCCAGTATTACACATGCCGCAGACTTCATCTTTGCTATATCTTCCTCATATTCTTCTACTGACTTCTCATACGTCACTGCATCAAAAGCATTTTGATCTGAAAAATCATTATAATAGATATCATTGTTCTTGCCTTTCTTCTTCCACACAGCTAGGCGCATCAAAAGCCGAGAGAAGAAGTCGATGAACACTGGTAGCTCGATTGGGATTCACATGCCAGCGAACGGTTTGGCTGCGTGAGAGTTTTCATGTCTTTGGAGTCCCCCCCCCTCTTTTTCATGTGTAAGGTGAATAAGAACCAGCTTATGTCAAAGAAGGCATCCTACGTGAAGGCATCCCTTCCCTCAAACAGGCAGCCGATGTGTGCTTTGCTGTACTCTAAAGTTTTTTAACATTTACAGATTTCTGCGTTCTTTTTACTGATATTTTAAAACTCTTGACATAGGAGATAAGTTTAGGATGTACCGATCTATCAGTTCTTCCTTGGCAGCATTTTGATTTTCGATATCATGCATCAAATGCTTTTAGTCATGAAAGAGTGTTACGCTTCTACTTTCATTCCATACATTAAAATTTGGACTCAATATTTAAACTCTAGTATTTAATCTGAATTAAGTTCTCACCTGACGGTGCTTCAAGAGATTTACTTCGTTAAATATCAGCGAGTTATCGCCCTGATTAAAATAAGACCTACACAGATTAATAGTCCAGATTTTATTTGACTATTCTTATTACATAACATCTAAAAAGGAAGCGAACTATAGGATTGAGTATTTAATTACAGCTTTGATATGCACAAATGTCACAATCAAATCTCTTAAAATAAGATAACTAGTATTCCTGAGTAATATTCCTCTTACCAGCCTAGGACAACAGGCCTTCCGTTAAACTATATTATGAAGGGGGTTGAGGGAAAAGAAAAATGAATAAATTAAATTCTGAAACAGTTCAGATTTTATCGCTCGCCCAAAAGGACTCTTAAAATTTAAGATGGTTTATCAGCATAAATTATCAATAGAGATGGCACAAGGAGGATTAGGAAGTATTTCATGGTATATTAGGTGAGTATGCAATTAGACTACCATGGGAGCATTATATGGTTCTGTCTGCTAAAAAGTGAAAAAATATGTAAGTAATTCTATAAAAATATGTAATGGTTTTAATTTAGATACATCATGAATTAAATGCATTTTTTTAAATCAATCAGATTATAAAGGAAAAAAAATATAATTCTTAAAAAGAGCATCTGTTGATTTCAAATAGTTCAGTTTGTTTTTCAGTAGCAGAAAGAGTAAATATAAACGAATAATATCTTAATTTTTTCCTAATGTATTTACACTGAACCACGCAAAATTTCGTTTTGAGACTAATAACTGTCATTTGGCTAAAAAAGAAAACGAATAATAGTAACAATGTATGTTATAAGTAGTTTATAAGTTTCGGCAACCCTTGTTTGCGTTGTCATTGAGTTAACTGGCTTGCTTGCGCTTTTGCGATATTGTAAAGGCTCAACGGTGTAGTTATTTAGTAACTACGAATTAAACTACTTAATGATAAGGTTTTCCTTATCAAACGTATTTCACACCATTTCTTCAAAGGTTTTTAATCTGCCTTTTTACTCAAAATACGATTTCCATCACATTTATTGTTACTATTTTTATTATGGAAGCTATAACAACGGCTAACGTTTTCAAGATTTTTCCCTTTGGTTATTTTTATTGAAAAGTAAAGGTTTTCTATTTACGATTCTATTTGCACGAATTCACGGATAATAGCTTCTGGATGAAATTTAATTATGGAAACGGAACTAAAAAATTCTGTAATTACTTACTGTTATCTCCCAGTTGTCTCTTGATGTAATCTTTGGCTTTCTTGAACGCTGTCGTCGGACGTCACGTCAAGTGGAACGATGTGCAGTCTGTTTGAAGTGTTTTGCTTTAAATCTTCAGCATCTTCCCCTTTTGGAAACAAACATCCAGCAAATACATGCAACCCCAATCTGTCTAATCTACGAGCTAGTGCGTTCCCAAATCCAGTATCACAACCTGCAACAGACGTTTTTAAAATTTTATAAAGAGGTGAATGTACTTTTGTAAAATTTAGCTAAATTTTGTAAAATTAGCTACTAAAAGTAGGCTGATGAAAGGGATATTATGTCAATTAAATTTGTCATACGAAAAGTTACGTAACTTTAGATTAAACTTTAAATTAGCTTTTAATTCTCTTAGTTCCTTTTTTTAGTTTGAAAACGCGTCATATCTGGAAATTAATTCTGTAGCTATCAACATTGAGCATAATTTCTCGGCCAATAAGATTAAAGCAAAACTTGCGTAGCAATTTTTGCGTAGTCCCACCCCTCTGCTGGATACTGGCAGAGAAATTATCATCTTATTCATGCCATTCATCTCCAACAGGAAATTCATCGTAACCCAAGGAAATGACTGTTCAGACATCAGACCCGTTAGAGCCGGTGTTCCTCAAAGATATATCCTTGGCTCCATACTTTATTTGTTATATGTCGCCGATTTCTCAAAGGAAAATCTTGACCATCACTACTTTCTTGGGTGTTAGCTGATGCTACGGCTCTCGCGGCTAGATCTACAAATGTTAACCATGCGATTAAAAAATTACGAGATCAAGTACCTCATATCAAGAGATGGTGCACTTTATGGAGATCAGCTATTAATGCGGCGAAATCTCAGTTACTTACCATTAGAAGGAAAAAACCCGGACTAATCCTACTTGCCAACTTACCATATTCAAAAATACTGTTTAGTCAAGACCGCCAGGTATTTGGGTATAACTTTTAATTCTAAATTAAAATAGAAAGATCATATTAACAAGATTAGAAACAAAGCAAATAAGGTTATCAATAGTATAATTCTCATTGTTGGAGACATTCAAGTATGGCTCTTAGGAAGAAACGTCTTGTTTACACCTCCATTATCAGACCAGTTTTAGTTTACGCTTCACCTGCATGGATTTCTGCTACAAAAAAATGATCTCTTGTAATTACAGAAAATTCAAAATCTTTCCCTTCGCAGTATCACTAACTCACATTACTATGTCAGAAATGTCACACTTCATGAAGATCTCAGAATTGATACTATTGAAACTTATCTTAGCTAGACAAACACAAAATTCTTCGGTATAGCATTTGGAAGTTAATACTTAAATTCATTTAATCTTTTCAACTAAAAAATACTTAAAATACTTGAAAAGGACTATGAACTGAGGTCATTTGCCGCACACCATAAAAAGACTGATCTTCCTATCACCTAGTCTTTTTTTACATTTTCCTTCCATATTGTTTGTGCATTTGTTTTGTCTTCCATTGTACTTGTTTTGCATTGTATTCTTTTGCACTATGAGGAGATTTTTCTTACTTTAAATCGCTGCTAGTTAATTTTATTACTCTTATTGACTTGCTTTTTCATACACTTCAGCCCTTCCTTATTTGCGATGTCGGGTCATTTTACGATCCTCTTGCCCCCCTTTGCCTCCACTCACTGCCACTCCTTTCCAGGTCCTACTTATCATGACTGCATTCATGTTATGTGCCATTATGGCAATATATGTCATTGATCCGGAAACGTCGCGCTCTGCGCGATATTAGTGGAATATTAAGGTTCGATTCGATTCGATAGTCGCTCTCTCTTTCGCCGCTTCGCCTTACTGCTGACAACGTGTCCCTACGCCTCTGCTAGCTAATTTCCATTATATTAAATGTAATGGCATATCTTAAATTATAGGAGGCGTTTAGCAGCCTTGTCTTCTATGTGCTAAGAAATTCGTCATCCAAAAATAAAAAACGTTTAAATATCAAGCTGGGTTGTGCTTCTTCCAAAATTCCATCCACTCATTCCAATATGCCGCAATTTCAATTCATCTACGCAGAAGTCTTTTCGGCCATGACTAGAAAGTGAATTGTTTTCATCACCGACCAAAATTACAATATCATATATACATACTATATATGTAATGATAGCACAACATATTTGAAGCACTGAATGTAAGAACAGTGAGATGTAGAACCACAGAAATACTAATGGCGTAGATACGTGATGCTTAAAGCGTCCATCCATTTTGATATGAAGAATAAACAGTCGGGCCGAATTGTATGTCATATTTATTGAAATTCACATTTTGTGGCCACAATTCACTTGGCACTCCTCCAATCGTGCCCACTTCTAGAACATTCGTAATTTTGATACTATACTGCTAGAAGTATAATAGCAGCACATAGATGATTGCAGCAAAGCGTCTTAACAGGATTAAAGCTTAAACGATAAGAGTGAGAGAATGTCGCAATTGTACTGAGGAAGAAAGGTGGGAGTCAAAAAAAGTTTTGGTTTGCAATTATTTTGAGTGGGCAAGAGATATCTGTATTAAGAGTTACGCAAAATCGCATGATTAATTTGAATGACGCAGTTTAAATTTATTGCGCCATTTCTAAGACAGAGAGATGAAGTTCCCAAATGAAATAAAAATAAGAGAGGTTATAGATAAATATTATAAAAGGACACAAAGTTTACAGCAATAGAAACTCAGGAAAAAAAATTTCAAATGAGGATTTAATTATGGTTTTACACCCGAATATAAGGTAATGCATTCTCTAACTCTAAATGCCCGCCAGAATACCTACTTTTGATGCGACATAAAAGGCCAAAACTGGGCATTTTAATAATTTTAACTGTTCAACTGATACACTTCAGAGAAGATAATTACTTATATTTATTTTTCCAATTCAATCAAATTTGATTATGATTTCAGTTAGCAGATTTCCATCGTCAAATAAAAATTTTTAGTGCTTTATTTGAAAATTTACTTTAAAAGTACATGTAAACGTAACTGATATAGTAAACACTTGTACTTCATAAAATGCTTAATTTTTGTAGTATTATTAGCTTTTGTAGCTCCGGAAATAAAATCAACACTTTTGCAAATTATCAGGTGATTAAATTAAAGCAGAGTAATTTTTTTTGTTTACAGGTAAAAGAGCCTTTGTAGAGGAATTTCTAAGGAAAATTGACTTGTATATGCATTATGCATATTAAAAATCATGGGGAGATTCATGCGATTAGCCCATTCACCGGAATTCATACCCAGAAGGAGGTCATACCAGTAGCCGAGTTATTAAAACCACTGAATGCTGGGAGTTCGATGTGAGGCGAACGGTTTGGTTGCATGGTGGTTTCCCCCATGTGTAACCTGAACATGAGCCATATTCCGATCGAAAGTACTTCATGAAGACATCATTTCCCTTAGGGGGTCATTTCTCGTGTTCTTTGCCGTATTTAAACAGCTTCAAATCTAACGTCAACAGCTCGAACTACTAATGTGCAGCAGACTTATTTATTATAAACAGCCATTAGGGGGCTTAAATTTCGCAGAAACTTTTTAAACGTTAAAAGATTTATTTATGTCAATTTTTAAGATAAAAAAGTAACATTTGTTAATAATTTAGCAATAATTATCCTTCGTCATCACAAAGGTTGTTGTCATATACGCAATCAGCTCGATCCATGGATAAGAAGCCTTGAAAATGAAACATAACACTCACCTTCCTATAAGAAATGATTCTGCCCCCCAGTTGTTTTCTTGGGGACAGCAGTAACGGATCTTATAAGATACACATAATGTTCAATACATTTTGGTATTTGTATTCACTCTCGTTTTTCTGTAGTGGAATAGAAATGATTTTGCTTTCATGTTTTTCATAATTAGTGTCTAGAACATACACTGACAGCTGTTTTCGGCAATAGCGATATTTGATGATATTACGATCATGTATAAGAAGCTGGTACAGATGCATTCGTTTTGTAAAATCCATACGACTGGATTAGTAATTTCCTGGCATGTAAAATTGGTAAAATTTGAAGAGAATTCAAATAGGCTATTTTCTTCCCTTTCTAGTCCAAAAGGACGTTAGTCTCTGTTGGTTGCGAAACGGGATTTAGCGTCGTTCACTATAAACAGCTGTATCACTTTTCAAATTGTTGCAAACAAATGTTTATCCCCTTGTATTACTTTTAAAGAAATTAAATAATGAAGAATTTGCCTGTATGTATGTTTCTCGCATTATGAAAAACGACGTTGCCAAAGAAGTACATCAAATTTTAAATAACTTAGCCCTCCACCGGAACATGTGCAGCTGGAAGCCCGAATTTTTAATTTCGAATTTTATATTTCCTATTTTTAAAACTTTAAGGAGTTTTTGATTAACATCTCAACGGTTTGAAAGCGAGCAGTGGGAACACTATGCGTAATAAAACATTTTTATGTCTAACGCACGAGACTGTGTACCGGAAGTTCTAAATTATGCCCTTTCTAAGTGTTTTGAGAATTTACTGTTGAATTGAAATTTAAGGGGCGTAAGCGCCAAGAACATGATATTTAATTAATAAGTGTAACACACAAAATGTTAGCAATAAAACGACAAAAATAATTTTGCAAATCATCTTACAAAGAAAATTGATATGATAATAATAGAAAAAACTGAAAAGAAATAATAGAAAAAATACCAAAACATAACACTGTAGGGAATTCTGAATATATGGTACTTTTAAAATTTTTGTAATTTTGCTGATGAATTAATTTTAGCGTATACGCGAAAAACTTATATTAAATAACGAAACTAAAAAGATAAGAAGAAAGGGTTTGCAGGAGTGAGAGCAACAGCAGCCTGGTAGACTGCGAGCTCAGTGAGAGGGTGAAAAAAAAAAACCTTAACAAACCTTCTTGGGTGACCGTTAAAATATGAACCTTATCCAGATTTGTGTTTTTTTCCCCCTTTGTTTTTCTTTTATATATATATATTTTTTTCTCAGTTTTTGCAAACTCGCACTCGTAACAACATTTACAAATTGGTGAAGTTACTTCAGTGCTGGGTTGAAAACTAACTTTTAGTTGAAAATTTAAATAAATGTAAAACTACTCATACGAATTTAATAACATGTATTTATTACTTT